TGCGGAGAAGGGATCCCGCTGGAGTTATTCTCCCAGTCCATATCGTCTTTGTAAATATTTGAAAGCATTTTGAAGACTTAAAATGAATCTATAAAATGTTTTCCAAAAATGTTTTCCTGTGTGGGGAACTAGCTCTCGATCAAACTGCTCTGAAACATAAACTGGCTTAGGACTGGGCTGTGTTCTATGTATGATATGTTATGACATCATAATGCCCGCCCACTTAGAATGCTGAACATTCTGCTTGGGCGGAGTTAAAACAGACGGTGGGGGGGGGGGTTGGGTGGCAGCTGCAGCTGTGAAAGTATTCCGGAATTTTCCGTTTCCAGACCAACTTTGCTCTTCCAGCTGTGCTTGTGCAGAAATGCATCATTGCTCTCGCTTAGCTCCAAGTTTGGCCTTCCTCTGCACACTGATGCTTCTCATTTGTCGTGCCAAACAGTGATGTTCTGCCAAAAAGTGAACGGCTAAAGGGCTGGTAAAATAATAAAATAGGATTTACTTTTATTGTCATTACACTGTCACAAGTACAAAGCAATGAAATGTAAACCAAGTGAAACTAAAACTTTCCACGTTAGGAGTTCTGGGTAGAGCATATTAAAATAGTAGAGCAGGCTTAAAAAAAATCTAAAAAACATAATATTTATATATTTTTTTGCAACTTTGGTATAATTACTGCTCTAAGTGGGTAGCTCTGTCAGCTAAAGGAAGGATTCATAGTCTCTACACTGCATTTAATGATTAATTGATTACTAAATTAGTTAACGATTAGTTAAATAATCAATCACGATTAATCTGATTAATTGTTTCAGCCCTAAATTAAAGCTTATTTTTCTTTATTGTTCATGCCCCATTTAAACTTCTTGGATTTTTTTTTTATTTTTTTATTTAGAGGTATTATCTGAGCGTCAGATTAGTACCAAACAGTTTTCCGATCAATTTTTATTTTGTGCAATATTGCCAATTTAATAATAGGCGCAATAAAAATCTGCTTCGAGCTTCAGGTCTCTCTGTATTAACAGCTAGTTTCAGGTTTTATTGTCCATTTAAATGCCAGTTTTAGTCATTGTGGTCTGTTGGTTTACAGAAAAAGTACAAAAAGGTGTACATTTAACATTCCACCCATGTGAATATAGCGGATAAATCTCCTGAGGTCACACATTTTTAATTTTTTACATATTATGTCAAAGTTTGAATAAATGGCAGAAGATGCCTTGGATTAGATTGTGTCTTCATATGTTAACAACAGCCTATCATCTTTAAGCTAAATGAAGAGGCTCTGCTCTCTTTAGTGCTGCAGCGTTTGGTGTCATCATGCTAGCTTATATCAAATTCTCTAAGGCGTCTGCATGAAAGCTTTGGATGCTTTCGTGTCAAATTCGTTTCAAATAAAGTATTCTGCTGCAGAAAAATCACCTCCACTAACCATCAGTTTTTGTACTTTTTTAAAACTAGAACTAATTTTAAACATTTGAAAGCAACAAGCTTAAATCACATCATTTATATACAACATTAACAAGGTGACAAAAAAGTATCAGCTTATCTTTTTCTTTTTATTAAGATCTGAGGGCAGAAGAATACAAATGGAACATCTTAAAAACTGAATTTCGTAAAAAATTTAGACAAACAGTTATACCTACTTGTAGAAAACGAATAGTTCTTGTTGACATCAATTTAAAAGTAGTGTAGCTTAATATGGCTAACTGACCGAGCTATGAGAGGCTTACCTGTTAGCTACTGAGCACGGCTAGCCACATTGCTATTCAGCTCTCCCCATTTATATCATGGTCTTGCAGTTTTACTTTTTTCACACTTTGTTTTCAGTTTTGTTATCAGTCAGGTAAAACCTCATTAGCAATGCTAACACTACAGATGCTCCCAACTCGGCAAACTGATGCTGCTTGATGCTATTATCGTTGCCTGGGCAACCACAATGTTTTACATCATGTTGTAACGTTCAGCCAATCAGGTAGCATAATGTCACTGGCATGAAGCAGAACCCGAGGAGATCCGGTACCTAGAGCAGATCTGCTACCTAGATCTGCTACCTAGAGCAGATCGGGTACTGTCAGGTCTAAGCACCTAAAACATCATACATACATACAGGGAAAGAAAGCACAGAGACAATTAATGTAGTTACTCGCGAGAATAGGAAGGAGACTGCAGAGTTTACAAATCTCCAACCCACTCTGCAGTCTTCAGCTTTCTGCCCGCCATTTATTGAAGAAAAGGGGATGTCCCTAATTACATCAGCTGAGGTCTAACTAAAGGGAAGAGGGGAAAGAAAAGGATCTTACTTTAAACCTCAGCACATATGTTAAAACAAAGCATGTGGTTGTTTTACAATTGAATTGTTCCAAGAATACATGTTTAGAAGAAACATGTGATAGAGGCTGTTCAGGTCTCTTTTACAACCCAGCATGTGATAGAGGATGTTCAGGCCTCCTTCACAACCCGTCCGTTACATGACCTTTATCTGGAACAATTTTAAGCAGGAGTTAATAAAAGATGCCATTTTTGTTGTTGCAGGTCATACATTAAAAAATGCTCATTAAATTTTTTTCTCTTAGACATTGGAGAGGTGCATTTAAATGTTATACAGCTAAACATGTTAAATTGGTGACTTGTTATGTTATTATTATTGTCTTGTTGCTGCATTTATTTTGTCAGGGAAAACTAATCCTGAGTTAGTTAAAAGTCATTCATAGTGGTTCATATTATTAAATTCTTTTAATAAATATATTGACAGAAACAGCAACAACATTGTCTCAGAACCAGCTTGCTGAGCTGTCTGCCTCTTCTTCTGGACCATCCTCTGCTCCTGGACCATCCTCTGCTCCTGGACCATCGTCTGCTCCTGCATCATCAGGTCCATCGAAGAAGAGGGTCCAGAAAAGGCAGCATGATGAGCCCACAGACTTTGAAATGGGAGATGTTGGAGGTCCTGAAATCAAAAACCACATCTGACCCCTGCTATGAGGACGATTATTTTCTGCGTCCTCTGCTTCCTCTCCTGAAAAAGGTTCCACCTGAGTCAAAGGACTTTGTAAAATTTCAAATTCATAAGTTATTGTATGAAAGCAGCGCTGTCACGCTTAATCTGGAACCATCAGAGGCCACAGAGTAGATATAAAAAAAAAAATAAAATAGGTGGCACTTTTTGCAGGAGAGGAAACAGATATTCTCATGTTTATTTGTTTTTCCTTTTTGTTCATGTTGTATGTATGTGTTGATTTAATGTTTGTTCAAAATCTGTTTTAATAAATATGTTATGAATAAAAAAAAAAAAAAAAAAAAAAAAAATTTATTTTAAGCAAACAGAAACTAAAACAAACAAAGGTAAATAAACGCCCTTAGCAGGTGAGTATAGGGGTTCCTATGGGAACCAGGACAGAGTTTGGGTTGTCAGGTACGGGTGCCAGCCCTGACCATTGGCAATAGAAGCTACATGTACATCTGGGGACCGTCAAAATGTAATTTAAGTCCTTTTTTGTTTCATTTTGTTGCATTTACTGAGATAGTTCACTGTGTTCTTGGAGTTTTATGGACAGATCAACACGATATGGTGCAGAACTGTGTGATGTAAGCAAAACCATACACGATTTAACAACTTTGGACAAATAAAAGAGAGAAAGAATTTGCAAGAAAGTAAGTAGAAATCATCTCCATAATTACCAAAAGCCACAATGGAGAACAGGCGTAAAGAAGGAGATGAACAGGATGGGACTATGATTAAATAAACTTTCTGATCAATGTCCAAAATACTGTGGGAGAAAATTAACTTCTCACATTGCTCAGAATACATAAGAATCACAGTTATTGCTGATAGAGATAAAATGGAGTCGTTTACATCATAACGGAGCATTAATGTAGCATAAATGGCCTAGTAGTAAGAGTCTAGATTAAACTCTAATGCAAGATGTATGATATAGGAAAACATGACTTACTAATATTTACTGAAGTTCCACTTCAAAACTCGATGAACTTGAAATGTTTAGCAAAGAATAACTAGAAAAGCACTCGTAGAGCACAGACCTCCCCCAAGCAACAGATTTAGCCCAAGATTGTAACTTAAAACTAGCCTATTGAGAAAAACTTGCATATGATTTGGATCATTACCATATTTAAATGAATTGTTTATTGGCATGAGGCACACCTTTAGTAAAAGCATTTTCACATACATTCATCCATAACTTTTCAAGTTAAACTATACAATGACAGACAGACAAACACACACAAACACTACTAAAACATAACCTCCTTGGTGGAGGTAACGAGCAAAAAAATTCTATTTCTAGATGACAAAAAGGCTATAAACCAACAAATATGAAGCTTTTTTTATTTATAAAAATGTTTTAAAAGGAAGGAATTGAACCCTCTAGTACTTAACCAGGAACTAATTTGACTATCACACACAGTATAATTCAATCAAACCAATTGCAGTCAGTGGTATTAATTTGACAAACTTTCAGTGGTTTGACTACTTTGCTAAATCATATGGAAAAAAACTGAAAAATGGATCATAGATCTTATTTCTCAACTGCTCACTCTTATAATTAAAGCCCAAAGAGCAGAACTCTGCATTCAGATCCATAAAACTTTGACAGTATGCTAAATCAGTTTTTCTGTTAATGTCCTCCTACTGCTATGTGTTTCTAACTATCTAACAATAGACATCTTTAGAGATATAGTACAGCAGCACATCTGCCTTAGATTGGGTAAATCTGCTGAATCAGGAGTTCATCATAAAATAAGCAGGTGCAGATGGATTTGACCGGGTTTTTGAAAACATTACAAGGCTATAATAACAGGCTACTGCCTTCTTCAGACTCTCATTGCCGTAATTATCTGTTAGCAGACCCTGCCTGTTTCTAACTAGTTATCATCATTGTAATGTGTGGGTGAGTTCTTTCAGTAACCTATGGGTGCCACCCAGCCTGAATGGAACATGGCTTTAAATCTGCTCTCTCGGATTTCCAAACCAATAGGAAAGCACCCACCTTCTCCCCTGTGGCAATATGCAGCCCCTCCATCACTTTGGCAAAAGAGCCCTTGTTGATCATCTTTCCGATCAGGTAGGAGCCGACCCGCTTGGAGTGAGGGAAGCTCCTAAGCAGGTCTCTGGGGACTTTCAGGGAAGGTAAGGGCAGCGGCTCCCCATGGAGTCCTGAGGCTTCCCACTGATCCACACCCCGCTCCTCGATGCCCCCTCCTTCCGTGACCATCTTCTCCAGAGTGGGCTTCACTGCTGCAGCTGGCATCCCAGATGACACCAGGGCCCCGTTTGGCCCCTTCTCACACCCATGATTGGATCCAAAAACAGAACAGTTCTTGCAGAAGGTACATATTACCTCACCGACTAGCTCAAGTAGCTGTGGTTACTAGAACCGAAGAAGGACAGGACAGGAGGACAATCAGGCCTCAGATTTCTGTGAGCCTCCCTCAGGTGTAAATCCAATAATCCCTCCTTCAACTCGTTGGTTTCTCTTAGAGTCTTTCCTTCAGCTGCTCAGGTGGCGTCTCTCTCTGTCTCCCTGTCGGTAAGTGGATGATTAACCAGTGTGTTCTTAGGTCAGCTCTGGGGATGAGATGGATATTCTACACCCTAATCACCCTCCTCCATCCACAGCACACACACACACAGATAGTCAGAGTTACACAGTCACCATTTGTAACAGGTTAATTTACTTTCTGAAGCTGTATCTTAAGCTGAACATTTTTTTACACTCTTTTTTTTTTTTTTAAGAATTGCAAATTTTTACAAAAGAGTTTTGTGGCCCTAAACGTACATTTTTGTTACATCACAACCAAGAACTACAACATATTTTTAGATCTAAATGCATTTGATGTTTTTAACCTTTTAAAAATTAAAATCTGAAAGTGTGTTGTGCTTTTCTTTTTTTTTTTATTGACTCATTACTTTGTAAAAGTAAATTTCTCTGCACTGGCTGCTTTAATTTTCCTACAGTAAGTTTCTGCAGGTTTTACATATCTAGAGACTAAACCTTTTATACATTCTTTGGAAAGTTGTTCAATCTCATAAAGTTTGGAAATACAGTATTTGGGAAATCTAATGGCATCTAAATCTATCTTGGATAAGGTAATTATTAATGTCCAATATATAAGTAGATACATATAATTTTATTTTCTATTTCTTTTTCAAATAATTTAATTTATCAATACTCCTACTGATTTATTGAGTAACAGATTTAGTGATATCAGCCCTACATGTCTGAAGCAGACAGTATAGGGGACGTCTTTCTCATTGTATGGTGGTTGAGTAGCAGAAATGTGCTAAAATATATAAAAGTTCAGCAAATACCATATGTACTACAAAGAGATCTGCTGTCAAGACGTTTTGACTATTACATATTCAAAGGATGCAAAAGAGAAATGCTACAATCACAGAAAATTGTAAAGAGCTTGGCGCTGATGACTGACTTGATTGTTCTTTCCATTCACCTGCCTAGCGCCATCCAGTTTCTCAATACTGCTCATCTATGTCACCTGTTCTATTTAACCTGCCTGCTTCCAATCATCAGTGCCAGATTATTCAAGCCCTTGGTGAGGTCTTCTACACAGTAAATATTGCAGTGTCAAAGTAACACTCGGGTACATTTTGTCCCACTCTGAATTAGTGAGGGAACAAATGTACTCTCAAAGGGATACTTTAATACTGCAACAATTACTGTGTAGTTTATTAGTTTGCACTGTTTGCCTGGTCCTCACCTTTTCTACCTATGGACCTCTGAGCCTGCCTGTTCCCGTTACGATCTGTTTGCGCAACCTGTCTTCAGACTCCTGCTGGATTCTGCCAATTGACCGGACCTGGAACCGCTTCCTGATACTGTCCTGGATCATAGTCTTCCTCCGCCAGATAGACGTGGTGACTAACTTCTGTTTTCCTTCTGCAGAGGTTCCTACCTTAGACACCCTAGCTGCTCACTGAAGATCTGTTGTTTTTAAATGAACTTTTTTTGAAATATCATACAATCTGTCTGTCTAAATACTGGGTATTCTGAGCCTTTCGAAAATAGGGAGCAGCAGATTGCAAATACACTGCAAATACAAAACCTGCAGCAAATACATAAAACAGACTAGCGCACAACATACAAAACAAATGCAAAGTAAAACTGCTGCAAGTACCAAAAACTGCTGCTTAAGAAAAGCTGCAAACTAATGCGACATAACAGATGTGCTCCACACAACTAGGGGGAGGGCTATCATCAAAACAAAGACACTTAGGGCCTGGGCTAGAAAGGGTTTCCCATTAAATATGCAAACATGTGCACCCACAGATCATCAGAGAATGAGCAAAGTGATTGCCACATGCAATTCATTAGAGATCATATAATAATGATCAAACTGCACAATTATGGTAGAAGGGTATGTAAATAAAAAAATTACCACCTGCACAGACAACTCAATTGCAATCCCCCCCCCCCCCCCCCCCTTTTTTTAATAAAAGCAAATTTAACAGTCAGGAGGAAACTCGCACACAAAATCAAATCAGATCATCAAATCTTTGTGGATCACCCCCAACAAGCCACATGTTACACTCACCAAAAAACAAGTGCTCACATAATTTATTTCTCCTTTTTAGGAAAGTTTATAGATCAGGTCCTTCATTTTTCTGAACATCACATTTATTAATTTACTAAGGGGGGTCTAGTGGGGCCAGGAAATTATTAAAGGGGTTGCCAGGCAAGGACCAATATGCACTGAGGGGTCTCTATAAACTGATAGGCGCCAAAACATCTTACAGTCATTCTATGCTGAATACAATAAACCAACAGGTAAGGGGACGTGCACATCTGTATTTTCAAAATAAATCACTGAAGACATACTCGATTTTCATTCAGGGTCTTGATGATCAATGTATTTCATACTCTACAAATCCTATTCATTGAATAGGTTGAACTGTTATTCTTTTTCTTAAATTACATATAATACTCCTGAATGGCTGCAGAGACTGATTCTCCCCTATAAGACCTCTTAACTACGTTTTTAAAGTAGCAACAATTCTTTATTACTCCTCTTAATTTGTAGCATGTCATTCTATTAGTTTATATTTCCTAGCCTAATTTTTATGTTTGCAGTATTTTTTGTACTTGCGTTGCATCCTTGCATTTTCAGTACGATTAATTCTCCTGACCCATTTCCGTATTTGAGTTTTAAATTCATCAATTTCCACAATTGGCCTTTTGTCTGAGGTTAATGCAGTTGTTCCTAAAAGCTTGAATACTACTTTCATCATTTTTTTCCATTGATGATTTGCAACTATTTTGCATCCTACTCTGTTGACTTTAAGGCTCATATTGCACTGCCTTGCAGGAGTATTTTCCTCAATCAGCTGATGAAAGTAAGGATAGAGCCCTGCATCCTGCACGTAACCCAATACAATCACACACGCACATCCTTATACAACCTTTAAATATGCAGTTAAAGCTGCCAGCCAAGGCCAGGAGTCACCTTGTTTTGAGGAGGGATTCACTGTATAATTAGTTCTGGCGTTCAGAACATGTTCAGAGCAGCAGCAGCAGCCACGAATGTCTCGGTTAAAGCCCAATCCAAACATCATTCGGATGAAACCTGTAGTAAAAATGGACCGGCTGAGGCAGAAAGTGTTGGTATTGGAAGAAGAGGGAAAATACTGGTCAATGCAGTGGGCACAAAAGTTTTTCCAGAATACTCCAAAATAAACCACCAAAAACCTAAGAGTCATTTATTAGTGGTTTCATTGCCAGAAAATATGAATTTCTCTTGAAAAGAAATCTCTATTTTACCTCCAGTCACCTCTTTTACCAAAATATCTTCTCTGTATGGCTAAGCACACTTAAAGGCTGGGAGACCTCCATTTCATAAACAGGTGTTAAGGCCCTGGCGTCCATGTGGGAGAAGGTGTTAACAGATCCACCCTAATGCTGTGGAAGGGTGTCAAGCTTTAACCGGGCCTCATGTTGGATAGATGGAGGAAAAAAAGAAAGGAAATAAGGAGGGAAGGAGTGCAGGATGAGGCAAAGGTTGACTGCTGCATCCATGACTGAGAAAGTGAGGGATGACCAGATGGAGGAAAGTGAAAAACAAGTCCAGTAATGTGATCGACAGAGTGAGTGAGAAAGAGAGAAACCGAGCTGCGCAACTGCAAAACAAATGTGAATTAATAAGACCTCTGGAGATCTTTTTATATAACCCCAGTTCTACGTCGCTTAAATGTTGTTCAGTGTGTGTGTGTGAGTGTGTGTGTGTGTTTCCATGGTTCAGAAAAGGTCATTCTAACTGCCAGAGACCACAGTCTATTTGTGTGAGCGCTTTCATGCCTGCACATATATTTGTAATCTGTTTCCTACAGCTTTGCGGTGTGTGTTTGTTGTTGAGATGATGTTTTTCCATCGATACGCATGCATAAAAAAATTCGTCTTTTAAATGACTCGAAAATATAATTATGAGCTTGCACATATTCAGCATGTGTGCAGAGAAGAATGCTGGCCAGCCATGTAGGACTTGGCGAGCTTCTTGGCGGTCACATTAAATGAGAAGAGAAACCCCCTTCTGCTTCTTGCCTGTAATAAATGGATCCCCAGCAACCATTAAGGCATATTTTAACACCAAATAACTCCCCTAAACCACACTAAGGCAGACTGGGCCGACCCTCGGCCTCCAACCAGCCCCTTTGCTCTCGTTTCCACTTCTTTCCTGGGAAAAAGAGTAAAAAGATAAAAAAAAAAAAAAAACGACATGTTCTTTTAAGGGCAAAAACTTAAAAATCATTTGGTTTTAACCAAATTCATAAAAGGCAGTAAAGCAAAATTGTATTCTCCTTAGATGTTTTAAGGGTGGGATGTGGGTTTTTCTTTGCTTTTGCTAACAAAAAACAAAATTTAACTCATAACGTAAAAACACTTTGGACTGATTACCGTACTTACAGATGAAAGCGAGTCGCAGCTGAAACAGGACGATTTTCTAACAAGACACGCACTGAAAGCAAGAAGTTTTTAGCAATAAAGTTGCATACTTGCGGTGCGAAACAAAGGAATAGAGCAAACTGCTTTTAAGAATGAGAATTTATCGAAGAATATGGTGTACATATTTTTATAGGAAGGGACAAGTGGTTTTCATGTTTTTTAAAGACCTGTCTGTCCACCTTAACTAACAGACCATACAAGGAGAAGCAATCAAGAAGTTTGTTACTCTGGAGGAGCTTCACAGATCCACTGCAAGCAGGTGGGAGAAAGAATACATCTATGTTTTGTGGCTAAAGGCTAACATTACCCTTATTATGAAAATGGGAGTGGCAGCATCATGCTGTGGGGAACCTTTTATTGAGCACACAGAGAGTTCAGTGTGGATCAGGAGATGAATGGAGCCAAATTCAGAATATTAGATGCTGCACAAGACTTGAAAAATCAAACAGGTGAAAGTACAGATCTGCATATAGACATTAGGGGATTAGTGATAAGCTTTAACTTCTTTTCAAGGAAAAACTGGCACGATATTCATTCCCCATAGAAACAAAGCTACGAGACATAAAGAAAGAGACTTGCAGCTATAAGAGATTTCAGAAA